GAGGCGGAGGCCGGTTAGCGGCGCCGGGGGAGCCGATCCCGGGCAGGGCCGGAGCCCCCGCCCCGCTCCTGGGGGGCTCCCCGGCTCCAGCAATACCTTTGGGGGGTGCTTGTGCGGGGTCCGAGCGAATGCGTGGCCACCAGCCGGCCGCATTGCCGCGTACGTTTTTTTTTGTTTTTTTCTTCCCTTGAATTTTCCTTTTACATAATGAGGCAGGAGGTGGGAGGGGGCCTGGCAGCAGTAGAGCGGGGTCGGTAGTGCCCCATGTGCAGCCTGGGCAGGTAGGGAGGGACCTGATCGGGCACACGCTAAAATAAGTTACCGAGCAAAAATAAGTTGAGAAGTCATTTCACTGCTTGCAGCATGCCTAGGGTTTTAATATGTGCCTAGGCTGGCACCCCTCCTTTACCAGCTCTCAAACGGTTTTCCAGATCTTCTTCACCTGTTCTTACCATCCTGGTTTTTTTCCTCTCCCCTAAATTTTGGTTGGTGCACCTCCGTGTCCAGGCCAAGGCCAGCTGTGCCAAATGTTGATTTGGAGAAAACTCAGGCAGCTGAGCTGTGAATGCTTGAGAATTGGAACTAGAAACTGCTGACACACTGACTTACTGAAATGGATTTTGTTCTTCATTTTATTCTTTCACTCCTCATCTGCAATGGTCTTATGACCACTCTTATTGTTTTGTTTCATTAACAAGTGGTGTCAGAAGTCTTGAGTCATAAAAGGTCAGCTGTAACACTCTGCTCTTGAGAGGGCTTCCTCTTCACACTATTCTGAAATACTTCGTTTTAGAGGATCCCACCTTTCTAGTTCTCTCTGGGGTGAAGTATTTATGGTTAATTTTCTTAACAACATATTTGAAAGTTATAGTGGAAGTTGTGGTGATTACAGATACTTACATGTAGTAAAATCCTTTTTGATCCCCCTCGGCAAACTCAGTTGTGGAATTTCTGTAAAGATTCCTACAAGGATTCTTGTGTTCTCGACTTGCTCAGAGCTGGAGCTGTTACATCTGCCAGACATCTGAGGCTCCAGGATGTGAGGGTAACAATGATTTTTAGTTACAGCAGTTAATTTCAACAACATCAGGAACAACAAAAATATTCTTTCAAGCTGGAGTTTTGCCCACTCCAGTTGTTGAGGGACTCCCTGTCTGTGCTGACTCTGTGCCACGGTGGCTGCAGATGGAGCCTTAGGTGGGTCAGTGGTTGTGGGGGATGTGAGGCTCTCCAGTCTGGGGAAGGAGGACGGATGAGTCAGAGGATTTAAAAAGGAAAAAGCAAAGAGGAAGTTGAGGTGGTTCAGTGTGGACTGTCCTAGGCTTCCAGCTCTGCTGAGTTACATGCCCCATATTCACTTCAGAACCATATGGCCTAGAAGTGAACTTCAGAAGGAAAGAGGAATGCTCAGTCTACAGCACAATCTCACGGTTTTATGAATTTAAGCCCTCAGCAGGTACTTTATTTCTTGGGTCCCAGGCTCATCCCAGCTCTCCTGGGGACTCTGAAATGCAGCAGGCAAAAGACCCATTGCTGGTGGCAGCAGAAGGGTGCTTGCAGGGATGCATTTCTTAGTTCTGTCACCTTTTCAGTGCTAAAGAGCATGTGTAGGGAGGTGCTGGTCGCTATCTTGAAATGAAGTGAGGAGATGTGGTCACATTTTCTGACCTCCATCTTCCAACTGGATTTGCACATGTCCTTTTGGAAATACTGCTTCTTTTTTTTTCCCCACCCCTTTACTGAGATGGCATTTGGGAGATGGGTGGGAAGGATGACTGCTGGTGTTGGAGGCCCAGGAGCTGATGGAGATGGTAGGAGTTGTCCCTTGTTCACAGTGTGTATTCTGAACCTTCCACAGATCTTGTCACAAAGGCAGTGGATCCTGCTGTCTTGAAGCATCCTGGGAATTAATTTTTTCCTCTCTGTGACCTGGAAATAGTAGCTGATGAAATAGCTCTCCAGCTTGCCAGTGGTCTTCAGTACAGTGTATCTTTCTGACAGTATCTGTATTTTCTTTTGCTTTGTTATGTTATCTGTATGTCACTCAGTTATGTGAGAGTCAGTCATGGCTGGTCCTTCCTGCTTAACCCTTCTTGCTGTGGGTTCCAACAAATAAATTTATGCAGCTTTACCTCAGAGACTAGATATTTTCCTATTTTTAAATGTCTGCATGAGGAAACTGGATATGTTTGGGGCTGACTACAGCTTTCTGCAATGACAAGTCTAACGTTTCACATCTAATTCTTGCCTTTTGCTGTTTTTGGCTTCCCTCTAGGCTACGGAGAGCTAAATGGTAATGCAGGAGAACGAGAA